CTAGTAACATTGTTGCTGTTAACTTTGTCTATAGCTCATCTGGTGTACCTGGTGAATACAGTCATAAATTCATAGCAGCGTTTTAGTGTCTGTGCTTAATATTTCATACAGGTACCCACATACCAAATATCATCACAATCCATAAAGGCCTTCTTAAGTTATGCTGACCACAAGCTTAAGTATGCAGAAACACACACACACATAAGCACACACACAAACACAGTCAGTCCAAAAACAATTTTGCTATAGAGCTAATAAATTAAAGGTAACATAAATGCATTATGCTTACCTTTGCATATGGTCAGTGCTCTGTTAATTCTTACTCAAACACATTTCATATATTTGGTGACCATGCAACCCCTCTTGAACTCAGTTCTGCATCTAAATCCCTCCTGCTTATAAATTGCAACATGATGTAACCAAACACCAGTTACCATGGTGACAGATGTCTGGTTCAGGTCATTGACCTTATTTGTTTGGATAAGAACAAGAGGAAACAGAGCAAACTAACAGAAGGAAAACATGAATATTTGACCTTGCAATATCAAACTGTTAGTAATAGCTCAACATATCCTATACCTTGGATGACGTCTCCCTCCTGCAGTCCAAAAGTAATCTCGTCATGCTGGTCCACCGTCGTGCCATCCTCTAACCTCCCCCTGCTCCAGATGGTCACCTCCTGACCTGGGCGGGGCCGGGTGCTCTCATCCCCTCCCTTCACTATCACCTACATGTAAGGGACAGGTGCACTTATTAGTCATTAGATAGCTTTAAACAATGTTTAGAGTTAGATGTTCAAAGGTTAGGTGTGACAAGTCGTTCGGTGTAATGTAGCCAGATGCCGCCGCGCCGCGTGCAAAGCTGGTGTGTTATGCCGAAGTATACAGATAAAGACACAGATACAGATTATTAGTAGTGGACACTAAGGCTGTGTATCGGTACACAGTACTGATACTGTACCGAAAAAATTGATTAGGTACAGGTCCAAAGTACCTAATCCCTCAGTACCGGTACTGTACCTGTATAGAGCTACACTAATTATATGCTTTCTTGTGACCTAAAATAGGGAATTCGAAATAGCCGGTCCCCCATATGCATGGGTCACAGCTCTACTGGAGAGGGGTACATGATAATCGATTGATCAAGGACATTATAGTTATACGACTTCCTTAGATTGACATTAATATTAATAAATCTGCAACACACACGCACAAATAGGAAAAATTATAACAACTTCTATGAACTTCAAGCTCGCCATTCTGTCCACACTTTGGAATCAACAGGTGGCTGAACATCTAATGTTACTAGTAAACTTGTTGCGATTGCCATGACAGAAAATCAAAACAACAGCCACAACTGAACTAAGCCGTTTTCTTTTCAATACAATAATACGTTAAATGAGATTTAAACCCTCTGGAATTTGGTAATGAAACTAAAGAATTCACCTTTTTCTTCAGTTTTCCATTGCCCAAAATGTCCAACCATTCCGGGTCAGTCTCCTCATCTGCATCTTTTCCATCTTCTTCCTCCTCCTTACCAACATCCCAGGGTTCGTCAGCAGGGGTCTGGCTAGTAGCGTTCAACGCGTTTTCTGTAACAGCATCGCCTTGGCCCTCTTCTAGTACCTTCCCACTTCTAGTAGTAGTGCCTTCTTCAAGAGGACTCTGCTTGCTAAAGGCGTTGTGCACATTTCCTACTATGTCTGTGTCTTGATTAAGTCCTTCCTCCGTTGGTAGTGTTGGCGGAAGATCCTCCACTCTCTCTTTTTCCATGGCAGCGTCTCTCTGTAACGTTAACCAGTCGTGAAGGCCGTTCGATTCGGGTGTTTATTTTCTCCAGTCACGTCCTCACGTGGTAATTTTTCACGTCCCGCGGGTTGCTGTTGTCGCACAGTGACGCCAAATCACACGTGAGATTCCCCGCGCCTGTTATACCTCGGCCTTGGGAATGTGTAGCAGCAAATTGGCTCTTGATGGGATGTAGGACATGAGATATTTTGGAGATAAAAAAGATCTATTTAGCCCGGAAGTCCCGAACGCAACGATTTTATCAAGCTGAGGTA